CAGTATAATTTCTCCTCTTAGCCTTGGAAAAAACACTTGCTATCATAACTCTAAATCAGGTAAGAACAATATTCCATTTCATGCAGGCTAACCAAGGGTTCTTGTTTTTGGAGATGCAAACCATCTTATTTCTCGAGTGTGTGGATCACTGAACTCTAGACCTGAATAGTTACATACAAACCTGGTTAGGGTTCTTGTTTTTTTTTCTATGCTGCAGATCGACACGATATAAAATCAAATGCTTTTCTGTCCGGACACACAAATCACAAAACGAATTACCTAGATGCATAAACCGCAATCTGTAATTTTTCAGAGGAATCCAAGCTGGATGAAGCAAGAAGCATCCGTGCATCTGTGCTGGTACAAAAGAAAGTTCCTAAAAATGTGAACACCAAATCAACCAAACAAGAGACAATCCATCACTAATCCCAACGGAAGTGTCGAACCTCGACCTGCAACACGCCCAAACCCCTGACCACGAAACCAGGGGAATCCTATGGCAAATCATGACGGAGGAAACATCGTTGCACTGGCCGAGGCATTGTGAAAAAGCATGGAAGGGGAGCAGGTTTTCAGGGGTGGCGAGATGGGGGTGGAGATGGAGGTGGAGCAGCGTCGGAACAGGAACCACGACATCATCGAGGCCAACAGGATAAGACAACAAGTGAAAAAAAATTGAGAAGCAAAAAAAAACTTTGGACAGATCAGACCAACCGGAGATGGAAGCGAGGGTACCTGTCAAGATCGGAAGATGGCCGAGCTCGCCGGAGCCGCCGCCTCCTCCGTCTTGGTGCTTCACAACACCGTTGCCGTCATCGTCGTGGCCCCGCACTCTGGATCTAGTAGGCACTGCTTCTGGGAGGGGGCGGGTCAACGCGCATCCGCCGCGTCCTTGGCCGGAGCGCCGCCTCCGCTCCCGTTATTTCTGCCGCCGAGCCTGAGGGGCCCTCCTGGCAGGCAGCAGCGTCGGCTCCACCTGGCAGGCAGTGGCGACGGCGGTGACCCAGAGCCGGCGAGCCGTCGCTGTCGGGTTCTACGTAGGCGACCTTCCTCTTCTGCCGCCACCGCTATTTGTGCTGAGAAATCTTAGCTTCACCGGTGTTAAAAAGTGTGAGGGCGAGAGAGATAGGAGAGGAAATATGGCAGTCTACCTCGCCGGGCCGCTGCGCCGTCCGGACGGGAAAACCAATGGAAAAGTGGGGACGGGGTGAGGCCGGGCGGCTCAACACCCTGTTCGCTTGGCTTATAAGCCGTACTTTTTTCAGCCAACGAACAGTATTTTTCTCTCACAATAAATCAGCCAACAATACTTTTAGCCATGGCTTATCAGCCAAACACATGTTCTTTACATGGGTGTTGCAGGCTGAGGCACACAGAACCCTGACTTGAAGCTTCCTCAATTCCAGACAGAAGCTTCCTCTATGTGATGAAAAATCTATACTTGCTAGGATATGGACTTGCCAAACAATCATTGTAATATCCATATTTATCCATGCAATAGATGAGCTTGATAGCATATGAACTTCTGTGAACCAATTGACATATAGAGCCTGTTTGCTGGTTGGTTTTCGGTGATAAGTCTGGCTGGTGCTGGTTTGTTGTGAAAGGAAAACACTGTTGACTGGCTGATAAGCCCTGGCTGAAATCAACGAGCGAACAGGCTGATAAACTTCATCAACGATGTTGTGGTGGCTAATGGTTGGCCCCGATGCTTTTATTGTTTCTACTGGAAAATGGTCCTACTCTTATTGCCAGTTTGTCTGTAAAACTGGTCACAACATTCGATGCATATCGTTTACATTCTCATGCTTCGTAGAAAACCAAAATGAATGAAGTGAAGCGGCTGTACGCGCGCATGGGCGCGCGCAAATCACCAGTGACTTACATTTACACGGGCGTGGACGAAGCGGCCACAGCCATTCAGCATTTCAGCCCAGTGGGCGCCTTGGAGAAACACATGTCGCCCACGGGCCCGATCGTGGTTTTGCCTCCGTGGCCTGGGCTCTAGTATTTTGCGGCGTGGGCCGACCGAGCCTGGCCCATCCCGAAAAATGTCCAGATCCCCATCCTCCTCCCGCTGCGAAGGAAGGCAGGAGGAATTCGGACGTCCAGTACCGCAGGGATGGCATTGGATTGGGCACGTCCGTGGCGGTGACCGGTGAGGCGGCATACCGGCGACCCGGCGCCACTGGTTTTCGAGTTTGATAGTCATGCGTGGCATTTTCTAGTTTCTACCTAGCGGTCAGCGGTTAGGTACGGTTCAGATGGCCGGATCGCAGAGTCAAGAGTCAGAACAAAGGTCAGACACCGCATAAAACTAGTGCTTTCGTCTCGGCAGGGTCAGACACCGCATAAAACTAATGCTTTCGTGAGGCACTACCCAAGCCCCAAGGTTTGCGTTGCCTGCTCGTGCGGTGCTGTTTCAGACAACAAGATGGCGGGACGTGTTTTGTGCGGCTACCATGAGCAGGTACCTCGACAGGGTCACTGATGCGGTGCCCTGCCGGCCCCCTCGTCACGTTTCTTGTCATCGCGTTCGGATCCTTGCCCAACTGTACAAAGTGTACATGCTGTAAGCTGAGCACTGAGCATGCGCTGAACAGCAGCGGCCAGCAGGGGTGGCATCGCATCGTCGCGTCCGAGGTTTCAACAAGCATTTCGGTAAACGGAACTGCCGCTACTGTTTGCTTGCTTGCGCCTTTTTAAAGGACGGCGAGGACCTCCAATTCTTCTCAAAGCTTTGCTCGCGAGGGGGGGCGACTGCCACTCATCAAAGTCTCATACGTTCCTGCACCAATTTAGGCACACACGCCCGCGGCCGCCATATCCTGAAAGCAGCTGTAGGCCCTTTCCATCAGGGTTCAGGGTAACGCTTTGCTGAGATCAGGCAGCCTGCTAACCTAGATCACACGTTTTGTAAATTTCTTTTTCCTCTTCGTTACTATACTGTGGAAACGTAAGTTGAAAACACGCTTTGTTAAGCTGCTACTATGTTTTTTCCCCTTGAATTAGCTGTTAATCTGTTATGCCATCCGTGTTGGAACAGAAACTTGCATGAGAAAACCTAGTCTTTGTGCAATTGTGCATTCTGAGTTTCTGACTGTAGAGCTAGGGCACCATCAGTATATGTTACTCCAGGGACATACAGATGAGAGGAGTATATTATTTATTACCTGACCAGGGACATACAAATTTGCTAGTTATTTCAAAATTTCAGGTCGGCAAGCCAGGCCTGTAATATTGCCTGTCACTGTAACTCTGTAAGACCACGAGTCCACGATGCTGATTGTTCGAGCAGACGAGCACCGCAGATGGTGGCGGCAGCATCCAGTCCACCGGGCAGCCAATGGCAGTTGGTTGCCGTCCCAAATAGTCAACTGCCGCAGCAATGATGGAATGGAAGGGGGGAAGCGGAAGCCGCTGCGTTTCTGTTCCTTTGCATCGTAGTTTCGTTGCGTTGCGAGGCAGGCGGAGGCGGTCAAGGGCGCGGGCGCGGACGGCCAGCGGAAGAAAGAAACAAAGAAAGAAAAGATGCCGTGCCGCGCCGCTGCCACGCACGCCAACCGCGGGCAAGTGGAAACCGAAAGCGAGGTGGGGTGGGGCGGCGCGTGGCGTGGGCGGACGGACGGACGGATCATGGAGGTCGCTATCGCTACCAACCGCTGCTGAACCGCGGGCGGGGCAGGCGGGCGCCTGCCTGCCTGCCGCGGGCGGCCCGCTGGCTGGCTGCCGTGGAAAACGAGGGGGCACCCCGCGCCCGGCGTCCGCATGCGCTGGGCTCCACGCCCCACTGACTCCCCCCCCACCCCACCCCGCTGCCGGCCGGCCAGCGCCCACAAAAGCCGCCGCTACGCTGATACGGATTTCTCCCGTGATCTCCCACTCTCTCCGCGCCGCGGACGCGTTCCCGTTCCCGTTCCAACTCCCCGCCCGTCCCGTCCCGTCACGGCCCGCGGTCTCCGCGCTGACGCCGTCGGCCGCCCTGGGGATGGAACGGATCCGGTCAGCGCTGGCGTCACGCCCCACTACTCCGCCCCGCCCCGGCGGGCGCCCGGCCTGCCTAACCTAATGCGGTCCGACGCGCGCCTCCACTCCACCCCGCAACGGGCAGGCAGCGCGCGGTTCACCGCGCCCCGCCTGGCTGACGCGCGGGGCCCCGGGGTCCCCCAGCTGGCGCGCGCGGCAGGTGGCGCGCCGGGCGCACGCGGGCGGTGGAAGCGGGAAGGAAGAGGAAGACGACGACGACGGGACGGCCCCCCAGCCCCCGCCCGCCCGGCCAGCCCCAGCCTCCTCTCGGTTCCGGTCTCCCACTCTCCGCGGCTGCCTGTCTCGCTCCCCACCTCGTGCTCTCTCCCTTTTTTTCGCCCCCCGGGCCGATTCCTACTCATCAGCCGCGCGGGGGAGAAGACAAGCGCTTTCTCCCCGGAATTCCGCGCCCACCTCCTCCGCCTCCTGTGCATTTGGCAGCGCAGATCCCGCCGCTCCCGTCCAGCCATCATCCTCTTCTCAGTTCTACCTTGCTCTACTAGGCCTTGACTGTTCTCGACTCCCCTAATCACCAGCTCGGTCTCCTCTTCCTCGCCGCGTTCAGTTCGGTCTCCGCTCCAACACGCCACCTGCTGCCGCGTAAACACCGGGAAATACCTGGTCTTTCTGGTGTGTGTGTAAGCAAGTTTCTACTCCCCAAGTTTGCTGCTTTTGGCCAATCTTTTCTGGGCTTTCAGGTCTCAGCATCACCAGGCCCCTTTTACTGCGATCTTTTTGTCCGATCACTGCAATTTTAAGCTTCAAGTATCTCCTTTTTCGGAAAATTCAGTCTCTGATAAAGCTGTTGAGTGAGCGGCTCATGCACCACACCACCAGTAGCCTCAGCTAAGATCTCCTCCCCATGCCACAAACTCCTCCACGACCGTCAGCCATGGCAAAGTTGCTATAGCGCTCTGCTCCGGCTGGCCCGTGTAAGCTGCGAAATTCGGGTCCCTCCCCGGCTTCCCGCGCCCATGGACGGCCTCCCCGACGCCGATGCGGCGCCGTTGGCGGCTGCGCCGCCGCAGAAGCGCGACGAGTGGAGCGAGAGCGGCATCGTGCGCCTCCTCGAGGCCTACGAGGTCAAGTGGCTGCTGCGGAACCGCGCCAAGCTCAAGTGGAGCGACTGGGTCGACATCGCCCGCGAGGTGTCTGTGCATTGCGCCGACGACGCCGCGGCCGCGGGGAAGGCCCCCGGCGGCGGCGGCGGCGGCAACAGCGCCAAGACCCCCAATCAGTGCAAGAACAAGATCGAGTCCATGAAGAAGCGGTACCGGGCCGAGTCCGCCGCGGTGGCGCGCGCGGCCCCCGCCGCCGCCGGCCCGTCGTGGAGGTTCTTTGCCCGCATGGACGGCCTGCTCAAAGGGCCGACCGTCTGCTCTGCCCAGGTGCAGCAGCCGGAGCTGATTAACAACATAGACTTGCGAGCTCCGGCGAAACCAGAGGCGGCCGAGGTCGAAGCTGATTTTGCCACGCAGCTGCGGGATGCAGTTCCAGGTGCATTCTCTGATCTGATGAACATCGATGCGAATGGCGCTGTCCCGGATAAAGTGGAGAAGGTTGACAACAGCATGCAGAAGGAGAGCAGGCCTGCTGATAGCGATGCTAACGTGAGCTCTCCGAGGAGTAAGGTGGCCAACGAGGACGTGGAGGAGGCGAACAATGTCTGGGACCGGACCAAGAAGAGAAAGAGCACAGACTTTGACATAGCCAAGAGCATCGAGCTGCTGGCTAGCTCGTTCTTGAAGATTGAGCACGCCAGGTTGGAGATGTACAGGGAGACAGAAAGGATGAGGGTTGAAGCTGAGATTAAGAAGGGGGAGATGGAGCTCAAGAGAACTGAGATCATGGCGAAAACGCACCTGCAGATCGCCAGGCTTTTTGCAAAGAAATTGAAACAGAGCAGTGGAAAGAATGGTGGCAGTTCGTCAGTAACAGCTGAAGTGGACACCCTTACCAAGAAAGGCGAGAATGGTTAGTGTCAACACAACATCGGAACATCCTAATATAAGGGTTACACTTTTGCAAAAAGTTTCTAAAATTTGTTATATACTATATGTCAAAGCAAAATTTTCCCTCAAGAGTACATAGCTTTCTCTGTGATGGAGTCCCCCATTTGTTAGGTCTGTACCTCTGTGTCTGTTCCTGAATACATGAATAGAATTGGGAGCGTCAGCCTAAATTAGTTATAGCAGTTCTCTCTATCAGAAGTTGATTATTATGTAATGTTTGTGACAATTTGAGAGTTTGTGCAGTGGTAGGGCTGTAACATTCCAACTTTGCTGCTGTTGTCTGCTTTTCATTATTCTCAGCTAATTCTTAGAAATGAAGTCTTCATTGTTATTGTGAGTCAAGATCTTTCCATAGTAAATGGACATAATGCTCGTGTTCTGGGATCATATGTTTATTTACTTGTCATAGAAGAGATTCAACGCAGACTGACAGTACTTGTGATAGGAGTATAATGGAAGTGTCATGTTCAACTCTAGTGCAAGATTTGTTTCAGGCTACAGATATTGCTGTAATGCATGGAATATGCTACTCTTTCACAATGAAAAGGAACACTTTACCTAAATGAAATGATCATGTATGTTCCAAACACATGGCTCCTGAATATTCAAATATAGACATGACAACGACAACAACAACAACAAAGCCTTTAAGTCCCAAACAAGTTGGGGTAGGCTAACACATGAGTCTATTTATATTCTGAAGAAATGGAACTACATAATAAACCATCTACTAACTCCATATGCATGCTTTAGCACTATTGATTGCTAATGATCTGTATTCTAGTGCCATTAAGAATTTCGTGCCTCCCCAAAAGTAGAACCTGAAAAAGCGTTGCTATCGTTCACCTGCTATGGATATGATTGTTTCTGACTACATGCTGGGGCCATCAATAGACTGACATCACATGCGTATGCCCTAGAAAGCACTGCTGTGGAAAAATAGGATGAACATGTTGAATCGTAGGATTATTTCTCGTGTCTTGTTTATTCAAATGCACTTTCTAACTTGCTAAGAAGAACCCTTCCCTACTATGTGAACAATATTGACATAACAGTTGGAGGCATACTTCTTTTTGTCAAGAATTTTTCTACCTGCCAGCCTATATGCAGAGTCACCCACAGATGTCCTAATGATCATATTGAGATAGCGCTATAATATTTACTGTGTTCTGATAAAAAGTACTAGAGGATTAAGTTCTTGAAGGATCTGCAATCACTGAGTGATTTGTGTACTTGTTTTCTCGTTCAATGCCTACTTTCTGGGGTTTCTGTCGTCGTTACCTTAATTAGGCTCACACCTCTTATGCTGCTCAGCTCAGATGTTATCCTGTCTGTTACTTGGCCTTAATGATGTTATTACATTGTACAGGAAATCTGCATTCCTATATATCATAGCTCCTTTACTGTTGCATATGCATTCCAATTTCAGTTTGAAGTTACAAAACGAATTCAAATTACAGGTGTGCTTGTTTAGTTATATAGAACAAATTTTATTTGTACCAAAAGCAATATACAGTACTGAATCGTGTAGCTGCATTGTTCACCTTATATTGTTGTGCTGTAGCCAATTCTCTTCTCACCATGGGACTTGTGAATTTCAGGTTCCGGGTGATGTGGCATGCCCAGCAGATGATTCTATCATCGGTGTACATGGCATCTCACTTTCCCTGTGCAGCAAGTGTACTGAGTCTGATTGATGCAACTTCGTGAGTGGAGAAATGGTTAGCTGTAAATTTACAGATGCAATAATGGGAGCGATGATTTGACTGTTTCATCCATTGCGGGATTATTATAGAAGCGATTTTTGAATCAGTGACTTCCTAGTCTGAAAGTTTCCGCCCTCTGTTCCTGTAGCAATTTACTGACAAGTGGCAACCATCATTTGTATAAGCCCATGCCCATGCTGTGAAGAGATGAAGCAGCAGTCGCCAATGCTGTGGTAAAATGTACTCCTCTTGAAGCCTCGATGACTAGGTATTGACGTATTGTAACTAGTTTCTTTACAGTTTGACTATGCGGATCCAATGCAAAGGTCAGCTAAATGAACAAGAAAAGTACTCGGTCCGGTCGTTTATACACGATGAGGACGTAGTGAATTTTTCTAATGGTTATTACGGGGTTATTATTTAGTATAGCTGTGAGCTGCCAAAAAAAATTATAAGAGCATTTTCATCAGTTTCCAAAACCCTATTCCAATCCTGTTTTTTGGCTAGATTGAAAAAAACCCCAACTCTCCAACAACTCCCAATTTATCTACACTAAACCTGATTCAATTGTGCGCAAATAATGCGTGCGTATCCATCGGCCAATCTGAAGGTGGAAGGACGTGAAAAAGAACCAGGGCTAAGATATGGTTCTCAATGTAAATGTATAAGAGAGAAAGAAAGTGTAAAAGTAGTTGAGGTGATTTGGAAACAGTCCATGATTCCTACAGCAAAATTGTATTTTATATTTTAGGAGCGAGATTTTGAATGTTCCCAACTATTGTTTAGCCACATGGAAAAATAATTGATTTACCAATTATTTTTTAGGAGCTATTAGAGATGCTCTAAGTTATTTGGTTAAAATAACTATGGAACTTACCTTTTCTCGTTATCTCTTTTAAAACAACTATAAAACATTTCTCTATTTCCATCCATTCAGAAAAGTGAAAAGCTGAAAGCTAAAAACGGCTTCAAAGCGTTGCAAACATTATACTATGTGAAAGAATATGTCTATGAAAGAACAACTTCTAGTTCCATTCGTTTAGTCGTCATTCTGCTTTTTTACTGCAGAAACATTTTTATAAAGTAAACCAAACGTAGCTTAAGAAAACTTATAGAATGCCCCTTGCGGAGCAGCAATTTCGGGCTCTGTCTCCGACCATGGCGAGGAACAAACATGGTAGAACTTAGGACCGAACGTATGAATTTTATAGAAATCCTACAGAATTTCACAGAGATGGGTTCAATTTCACAAAAAAAACATAGAAACATGACATTTTTTCCCGTTTCAAACATGCCCTTAGAGCAACCATAATGTTGCTCAAAAGCAGTTCATAGCGATTAAAGTAATACCTACCACCTAGCTGAAGCACTGTGAGACAATTATGTAAAGTAGTCTATAGTAAGGTATCCATAATATTATGGACTACTAATAGAGAATAAAAAATGTTAATTTTCTTATTCCTCTCTTTCTCTTTCTTGATATTACACAGAACTGTAGAGATGGAGAACTTTTTATCTCTAAAAGGATCCACCCTATAGACTACTGGTTGGCTGAAATAGCGTAGAAACACAATAGTTAGCTTGCTCGCTGCACCTACTTGGTCCCTGGTATGGACTGATCATGTAGGTTCCTCCATCTATCTATCTATCTATCTATCTATATATATATATATATATATATATATATATATATATATATATATATATATATATATATATATATGAACTACTTGGTCCAATTATATTACTGTGGTTGCTCTTAGTGGATAATAACCGGCCGCTGAGAATCTGCACCCACATGTCAGTGCCGATGTACGAGAACAGGTAGTCACCACCACCTCTTCCCTGTCCCCTCTGGCTAAAAAGAACCGCATACAGATCTTTTTTTTTAGCCTTTCACCTATATGGCCCTGTTCGCTGGGAGGAATTTGGAGGAACCTGGAGAAATTTGTGAGAGAGTGAGCAGTGTTTTTTAGCTGTCCACAGTGCATTCCGGCTAAATTCCAGGGCAGCCGAACGGCCCCTATGTCGTTACGAACGATGCTCCAGGTCTACAGGCCACTAAAAATTCAAATACACCCAGGTGCCATGACACTTTACATTTTTTGTCCTCCACGCCATTCCGTCCACTTTTAACTCTAACGGTGTCAAACTGTGCTGAAAAATGTCTAAACTACCCTCTGGTCTGCTAGCATAAGTGTATGCGATCTTTTAATCTTGCCCGCAGATCCTGAGAGGAACGGTGCAGGTTCATTGCCAGTATATGTGTATTTCTAAAGTATTTCCGAATTTAATTTTCTAAAGGAAAATAGCCGTATAAGGTGTAAGCAAGACTTCACGGTGAAGTCATCAAGCTAGCAAGGCAGAGTTCCCTCTGCTGCTCGCTCCGGCCGCTCGCGCGGCGTTGCGCGCGTGGCGTTGTCGCAGAAGCCAGCAAGGACGACAAGCCACGTAGAGCTGCGCCACCCCGTCCCGAGCCACTGACGCCGCCACTGTAGAGTTCGACACGCTCATAGATGTTCAGTTCGACGACCCCAACGGGAACCACGTCGGCTTGGATCTCGGCTCCATGGTCTTCGTCGCGTCCGCCAACCACGGGGACGATGCCACCGGCGGCGTCGACCTCACCTGCGAGAGGACCGTCAACGCCTGGATCGACTACCGTCCCTCTAGTTCCGGCAACGGGAAAGGCAACGTCTTGGAGGTGTTCATGTCCTACGCGCCCAAGCGGCCGCCCAGGCCCGTGTTGTCCACGCCACTCGACCTCGAGGAGCACGTCAAGGACGCCGCATTCGTTGGATTCTCCGCCTCCACGCAGGGGAGCACGGAGACGCACGCCATCGAGCGGTGGAGCTTCTCCACTGCGTCGCCTTCGCCATCCCCGCGTTCGGCACCCGCGGCGCCGCCGCTTGACTCTACCCCGGCGCTCCCGCCTCCCGTCGCCAACCCGGTGCTCTGTCGTCGCTGCTCCCAGGAGTGACGACGACGGCGCCGTCGCTTCTTGCCGCCTTAACGGTGCCGCCGCGCGGCATTTGGCTCGAACGCGCGGACACCACGAAGCGCCCGCCGCCGCGCCCGTGGCCGCGACTGGCGTCGCCACGAAGCGCCATGCCTCGCCTGCGGTCGCGACGGGGCGTCCTCGGCGCAGCGGCGCGGCATCACACCGCGCGGCGCCGCCTTACGCCTCGAATCGCGCGGACGCCACAGCGCCCTTGGCGCCGCCCGCCCACACGGCGCGCGCACACAGCGCCCCCACCGCCCGTGGCGTGGTCCTCTTTGCGTGCCGCGTCGCGACCCGCCGCTTCGCGCTTCGCCCCACGCCATGGACGCTGCAGCGTTGCCCTCGACGCCAGTAGCATGGGCGCCACCGTGAGTGGCCCGACCCACCCCCACGCGGGCGAGCTCCGCCCCGACCACCACGGGCGAGCTCTGCCCCGGCCACCGCGACGGCGCGCGGGCGAGCTCCACCGCCCGACAACTACGACAGTGCACGGACGAGCTCTCCCCGACCGCGTTCTTTTGGAGGAAGAAGGTACCCGGGTCACTTACAGCTTGGCCCCACCGGACAGAGAGAAAGAAGTGGGAGGATAAGGTTGTGAAAGAAGGGTATTATAGACTTTGTGACCGGATGGGCCCACAGGTCAGGGCTGTCAAACGGTGGAAACCAGACGGAAGGTGGACGGAATGGCGTTGAGGACAAAAAAAAGTAAAGTGTCATGGCATCCGGGTGCGTTTGAACTTTTCAGTAACATGTAGGTCTAGAGCATCTTTCATAATAGCACACAGATAAAAGGCTCTTTTTTTTGCTTAAGCATTTCTACCCTTGTTTTGAATCGGAACGGTGATTTTGCACTCAATTTTTTTAACTTTGTAATTTTACACCTGTGATCTCAAAACGAAGGGAGACTTTAACCCTACTCTGTGAAGTCCCTCTAACGGTGTTAACTTTTGGACAAAGGGACAACTTTGCCCATGTGTTTGTACCCCTGTTTATTTTGATATTTATGTTTTTACCCCTATTTTCAAATCAGCAATTTGGCAATTTTGATACAGAGTTATGCAATTCAATCAGTGCAAATCTCAACAATTTTTTAAAAAATCGACAACACTTCAGCTAACATTCCATATAAACAGAATTTAATATCGCGTTAGTTTGAACTAATAGCAGTGTCAATCTTTGATACATGGCATTAGTTTGAACTAATAGCAGTGTCAAGCTTTGATACATGAGATGCATATACAAACAAGCCAATTTTCCAGCAAGGAGTCAAGAACAAGCTGTTCTTCTCTACCGAGTAGCAAATCCAATCCTCAAAATGATCGGATCGGACGCACGCCAGGAAACCGAAAGGCCCCCTCTTCCTTTTTTTTTTTCCAGATAATATCTACAGCCTCTACCACTTGGATTAGCAGCGCGAATGGAACAGCGAAAGATTGCCGCCCGTCCCCGTTGGCGATCAAGAACAGCAGTTAGCGCTGCGTACCAATCCGTTCGTGCACTCACCGCAGCGGACGAGGCGGCGCTCATCGTCGACGAACACCTTGCGGCCGCCGCCACAGCTGTTGCTCGGGACGAACCGGACGCCGCCGCAGGCGTTGCAGACGAAGGCCAGGTCCTGCCCGGCCGCGCTGTCGAGGAGGTGTCGGAGCTGGCCGGCCTCGTTCAGCTGCCGGATCTCGTCCGCGCAGCCGACGAACAGCTGCAGGGGGCGCCGCCCGCCCAGGCCCACGCCGCCGGCCGCCTGCGCCTGCGCCTGCGCAGCCAAGCCGCAAACCGCCCGCGCTGCCGGCCTCCGACTGCCGCCGACGCCCACCGCCTGGCGGCCTGGGTCCAGCTAGGGTTGGACTCGTCTAATTTGGGGAAAGTGAACAGATAGGGACCTGCGGTTGTGGGGATAGGAAGGCGAGGGTAGTTTTGTCTTTTTGCTTATGAATATCTTTTTTTTTTGGCATTTAATTCATCCTACTAAACACCGTTACAAAACAGGATAAACGGCAGCTTCGATAAAAAATCGTGAGGGCAAAAACATAAAGTTTAAAAAGTAGGGGTAAAATTACCATTGCACTCTGTGGTAGGGAATATACACCAAATTCTTTTTTTTTTCCCTGTCCGTTCTTCCACTCGAGTTCTTCAGTTCTTTGGAATCGTCAGACGGAGCAACTCGAGTTTTCCATGGTGATGATCTGGAACCGGAAGAGGTGCGCTCCCCCTCTCTGATCCCCTGATTGGCCTCGCTCCAGTTGGGTGCGAGATTTGGACGGGACGGGCGGAGGTTGGGAGAACCGAGGCGGCCGGCATGTTTGGGTCCAGGGTCCAGGATGAGGTGGAGATGCAGAGGAGGCCTAACAACAGGTACGCGTCTTGATTCCATACGGCCTCCTTTTCCCCTGCGATGTATTTAAGTTCTGACCTTTTGGATTGCCTGCTGAGAGTCGATGAGTAGCTGTTAGAATTTGCTGAACTGGGATTGACTTTGGGTTTGCTGTATTGGGGAGCGAGGATGGAGGGGGGATTCGGAATGGATTCTGGAAGGGAGGACATAAAAGGTGGTGGTGTAGCTTGCGCGGTACGTTCTTCACTACCTCGAGGAATTGGAGAGGACCAATTTGAAGCTTTGGTCCCGTTGAAGCCTGGATTCAAGTTCCTTTTGCTGAAGAGAGGGGAGGGATGACTCTAGTATTGAGACTGAGAGAGCTTCGTTGGAGATTAACTCGTCAAGTCCAGAAGAACGTGTTGGTTCTAATCGGATTAGCTGGTTTTTGGTGTGTATGACAGAGTCTTATGATAATTTGTGAAAATGACAGTAGAAATTGAGAGCATTTGCTAAGCCTAACATTTATCCCTCATTTATATTCAGCTTCACGGGCAAGCTTAATTTTTTCCTTTCAACTAGCCTGATTCCCATGCAATTACGTGGGCAAATTGAATAATACAGTTCTATTTGCTAAACAGTTGTAACTTGCGTGCTTTGAAAAAATATTTGTTTTTGTCCAACAATCGTGGCTATTATATATCTCTGTCTTATCTTACAATTAAGAATTAGAGACATCTTGTGGAACCTCTGTTATAATCTGGCCTGCAAAAATATAAGTGGTCTAGATCTTTTTCCTTTTCTCTGTATTAGTGACTATTATACTTTTTAAGGATTGTGGTAATTTCTAGCCCTTAAAGGGAAGGTAGCATGATGAACTGTGGAATCTGCTGGTGAAGATGGTCTGTGGAATCCTATGTTATTCTTCTTCTATTGTTACTTTGGTTCGAAATCACACTATTTTGACCCAAAATCATTGGTTTTGATGTATCAATAATATTTGCGCTTTTGTTATTTTTTCTAAGTTTCTGTTTATCTTTAGGATCTTTCCTGATGAGAGACAAAATCAATCTAAGCCATTATATCAAACTGCACGGGCCGACAGATTTGGTGCAAATAGAATGGATCTGAAGAATCCTGAGAAGCTTAAGGTGTTAAATGAAGGCAACAAACCGTGGCACCAGCGTATTCTAGACCCTGGGAGTAATATTGTACTGGGATGGAACAGGGTGTACCTTGTGGCATGTTTGTTTGCTCTTTTCATAGATCCTTTTTTCTATTACCTTCCATTGATTAGACAAAATGGCAATTTATCTTCATGTGTTGCCAAGGACCAGGGACTGAGCATAAGAATCACTGTCCTACGATCACTTGCTGACTTATTTTACATGTTGAACATAGCAATCAAGTTTCATACTGCATATGTGGATCCAAAGTCCAGAGTCCTCGGAAAGGGAGAGCTTGTTGTGGATATTAAGAAGATTCAACGAAGATATATAAGAACTGATTTCTTTGTAGACATACTTGCAGCTGTGCCACTTCCACAGGTAAAGACCTCGCGAAGATTAGTGGCTGCAGCCCTTGTTGCATAATTTAAATTTTTTATATTGCATTTTCTTATTTTACCATTTCTAGTGGTACTACAATTACCTGCGGTATATGTTCAATAGCAATGCCATATGCATATTATTTTGCACTAAATTGATTGATTAGGCGATTAGCGTCTATGTGGCGGTAAGATTCTCGTTGTATGCCTTTGGGTTGAGCCCATGTCATTATTTCCCTTAATATAAGGTCATCAAAGTAAGTGATCTGACCCTTCCTGGTGATGTTGCTATTTCCTATCCTAGAAAATTGTCGTTAGTAAACATACAATTGCGACAACCACATTGTGACTTCAGTAAGGTGGACCCAACTACCTTTCTACTCAGATGTATTCATGCCATATATCATCTGAATCTAATTGACATCCACTTTAGATCATAAGAAAGCATTCAATGAAATTTATTGTAATCAGCTAATACTAGCACTATTATTGATGCATTATATATGTCTTTATATCCTGTTCTCTTGATTTTTCCCTTTTCATTTGTGGCTCATGTTGGGCTTCAACTCTAGCCTACCCCAACTTGGTTGGGACTAAAAGGGTTTGGTGTTGTTGTTATAGTTGTAACCTGCTAGCTTAGCTGAATGCTTGTAGATTAACATTGCCTGTGTAGCTGAAATTTTTGAGCGATGATTATCACAAATACTGAATATGATGACTTGGTTTGTTAGTGCAAAACTTCTGTAGTTAAGACTTAATCTTTCTGGGGTGACTTTGTTTTGCAGGTTACTGTATGGTTAATTATGCCTGCGATAAAAAGCTCAGATTATAACATCCGAAACACTACATTTGCTCTTGTAATTGTGATTCAGTATGTCATAAGAATGTATCTCATCATCCCTTTAAGCAATCAGATTATCAAAGCTGTTGGAGTAGTTGCAAAGTCAGCTTGGGGGGGAGCAGCATACAATCTTCTGCTCTACATGCTTGCAAGCCATGTATGGTTATCCACTTTCAATTTTATTTATGAAATTCCTGGGGATGTTAATTTGAATTAAGATTTATTTCAGCTTATGTTTGTTCTAAGGGATACACATGGTTTTATTTGCTATTGAAAATGGAGACTTGTCTTGTCTTCATATGGAACTAAATATCAGTTTTCTGGTCCTTCTTTTTTCCCGATTCAACAAATATACCCATTATCCTGGAATGCATTAGAATTCAGTCTTGCGTTCTGCACAAAGAAACAAAACTGTTTCAAGTAGACATGCATGTGAGCTCAATTGTGAGAAACAATTCTATCACTATCATCTTGGATCTTGTGGTTACACTTTTGTTTGCGCGATACTAAAATTATGTTACTTATGATATGACCTGTGTGCATTGCTGCAGATTACTGGTGCAATATATTATCTTCTCTCCATTGAACGGCAGATTACATGCTGGGATCAGCAGTGCGTTGCTGAGTACAATGATAAACATTGCAACTTGAGATTTATAAGTTGTGAGAATAATGGTTCTAATGATTATTCTGTGTGGGCAAATAACACAAGTATATTTGTCAACTGTGATGCCAATAATCCTAATTTATCATTTAAGTATGGGATGTTTTCTAGTGCACTGAGTAAAGGCGCTGTCTCATCTCCATTCCTTGAGAAGTACTTCTTTTGTCTATGGTGGGGTTTGCTGCAGCTTAGGTTGTGATCCACCGCTATACTCTGTTACTTTGGGTTCTTTTGTATGTCTAATACAATTACTGATGTTAATGTTGTTTTGTGTCTGTTGACACCTTTTCAGTTCAAGCGGGAATCCTCTCGTGACAAGTGCATTTATCACAGAGAACTTATTTGCTATAGCAATTGGCGCTATCAGTCTCATACTCTTTGCTCAGTTGATTGGCAAGATGCAGGTAGTGCCATAAATTCTCACTTCTGAACTACAATAGGAAGTTTTGGGGTTGATAGTTCATACTTTTTATGCTCGTATTACCAAGTCAATCCTAGGATTAACACAGCATTAGTAATTGCATTATGTGATAAATTTGGAAGCAATTTTAAAGCTGATCTAGTTTGGCAAAATTACCTTGTTATCAGTTCTATTGTGCATTATGTGTTAGGCTATTGTAACTTTCTGTCTTTTTTTCTTAACTGATGCATCAAGTATATGAAGTATGAACTTCCGTTTCATGGTTTGAGATTTCTGATAAAAATAAGGATATTACTGTTTCTGTGTTCAGTAAGCCATTTTCCGCACTGGTTACCCACTTGAAGTCTGATTCAGAGATCACTTCTTATTCTTCTTTTAGACATACCTGCAGTCTATCAGTAAAAGGCTTGAAGAGTGGAGGCTGAGGCAAAGGGACATGGATGAGTGGATGAGACACCATCAACTCCCATCTCATCTTCAAGAACGTGTCCGGCGGTTTGTTCAAGTTAAATGGCTTGCTACAAGAGGAGTAGAAGAAGAGTCCATCTTGCAAGCTTTGCCTGCTGACATACGTCGGGATGTGCAGCGTCATCTTTGTTTGGACCTTGTTAGACGTGTAAGTTGTGGTTATACTCCCATCTCACAGTTGAATTAGTAGAGTTTTTAGTTTTTGAAAGTTTCTTGATGGATTATTTACTGTATTTGGATGGAAATAAACAAGTTGACGCTCTGTTGCTTTTTACCATTGCTTCTACTGCTAGTTGAAACTTCATACACATTCTCTGGCAGCTTTTCATTCCATTCTGCAATGCAGGTACCCTTTTTCTCTGAGATGGATGACCAACTTCTTGATGCCATCTGTGAGCGGCTGGTGTCTTTCCTGTGTCCTGAAAATACATACATCTCCCGCGAGGGTGATCCTGTGAATGAGATGCTTTTTATCATACGTGGGAAACTAGAGAGCTCAACAACAAATGGTGGCCGTAGCAACTTCTTCAACTCTATCATCCTGCGCCCTGGTGATTTCGCAGGTGAAGAGCTGCTCACTTGGGCCCTACTTCCAAAGACCAATGTCCACTTCCCACTTTCAACAAGGACTGTACGGAGCCTCACAGAGGTGGAAGCCTTCGCTCTGCGAGCTGAAGACCTGAAGTTTGTCGCAAACCAGTTCAGAAGGCTTCACAGCAAGAAGCTCCAGCACACATTCCGGTTCTACTCCCATCACTGGAGGACCTGGGCTGCCTGCTTCATCCAAGCTGCATGGCGGCAGCACCAGAGAAGGAAGCTGGCTGAGAGCCTCAGCCGATGGGAGTCATACTCATGGTGGTCAGAGGATCACCCAACTGGTGATATACCCAGACAGGAGGGCACCTCAAGCGGCGGCACAAGGACGATTGCTGAAGGTGCCATTGCCCATATGCATAAGCTTGCCTCTGCTTCCAGAAGGTTCCGCACCGAGGACATTGCTATTTGCAGGTTGCAGAAGCCTGATGAGCCTGATTTCTCCGCAGACCATTTTGATTGAACCTTATGCTCTGGAGCTGGAAATGCATGTTGTACAATTACGATCGTAGTATACTACTGTAATTTTTCTGCACAGCAATTTTAGGTGTTGTGAATTGTGATAGAAAAGATGTACCATGTAATCCTGAAGTTCAGAATCTACCCTGTATAGGCTTAACCTTTGTCAGTGCATAAACTTGAGTGTTTTGAAGCGTCATATGTTGTTTCAGAGATGCCAAAGTGACTTGTTAAACACCAGTAGAGTACAGCAGTGACAGCACTACAAATGAGTGACAATAGGTTTAGCTCAGGCACCGTCCAATGTGCATCGAGATTCGTGATCCTAAAACTCGTGTGATATTTGCCTTCGCTTCTCTGGTCTCTGGCCTCCGTCCTGCTCGCCTCCCGGCCTTCCCTATCCGCCGCGAGCCCGCGAGCCGCCTCTCCGTCGGCGTGTTCCTAGCTTGCCTTACCGCGGCGGTAAGTGAGATTGGAAATAAGCTTAGAATCCGCTACGAATTCGTCTCATCTTCCTTCGATTCCTAATTCTTTTGCGTCTCTCTTGACAAAGTTATGTTCCGTCCGATTGATGAGCTACGCTGTTGCTGATAGTCGTTTCACTCCCCAATCTAGCACTAGCAGTGGCATGAGGGCGGGGCGGCCCAAGATCGGCGACCAAGCAACCAGCGACGTGGTAGTGCGGCTACGGACGCCGGAGGGCCGCGACGAGTGGCTCTACTGCCACTCCGCGGTGCTCGTCGCCGGCAGCACCTACTTCGCCGACCGCCTCTCCGACGCCTGGCCGACGTGCCAGATCCTCGGCTCGCGCTACTGCGTCGAGGTCTACTGCCAGGAGCTGGACCTGAGCTCCCATGTCACCGCGCTCCGGTTCCTATACGCCACCGAGCCCTGCTCCCATTTCGGCGTCCGCGGCGCGCTGGGTGTGCTCCAGGCCGCCGTGCACCTTGGATGCGGGCAGATCGCCGCCGCCTGCGCGGACTACATCGAGTCCGCCCCCTGGGACGAGGCCGACGAGGAGGAGATTCTGAGGACCGTCCCCGGCCTCGGCCCGCAGTACGAGTGCATCCTTGCTCGTCTCCGGCCAATCGATCCGGCTCCGGTGACGAGCATATTCCTTTCGGCGTTCCGGCACGCGACGCTCTCGTCGGCGGCTGGGCCTGCGCGGGAGCTCAAGTCTGCAGCTCAGGAGCAGCTGGAGTACATGCTCACCGAAGATGACGACGCCCCATTGGTAGCCCTTGACAACGACACTGTGAAGTCTCAAGTGAAGGATTGTGCCACAGGTTTACTAAGTCAGTTCAGTGATTTCATGAGTTCTCTCCTGACGAAACAAAAGGAGGCGCCTCTTGATGGTGAGCACCGCGAGCTTCAGCAGCAGTTACAATCTTTCGTTTGTGATATCTCTTGGGTCTGTCAGGTCTTGAGCAAGCTCGAGATGATGAAGTGCATTGTTGTCTACTGGGTTGGAGTGTCCTCTGATGTGGTAGAAACTGTTGACGCAATATGCACTGGGTATGACTGTCTGAAGACCAGGCTGAAGGTGGTAGAGGTGTCTGCAAAAGTCCTGGAGGCTGTTGCGTTTGGCAATGTCGTCCTTCCAGCTGAGAAGCGCCGTCATATGGTGAATTTATGGATTCGATTTGCAAGGATGACAAAATCTTTGGTTGATCAGGCCTATCCGGATGATGATGATGGCGAAGCTGAGACACCAAAGGAAAACCTGGACAATGAGGTCTGGCAGGGCCTGGAGTCTGCAATTGTTTCGATTTTGCTGACACTGCCGTCAAATAGTCAAGCTGAGATTTTATCAGGGTGGCTTCAGTCGAAACATGTTAGATATCCTGACTTGACGGAGGCATTTGAAGCCTGGTGTTATAGATCAAAGGTTGCTAAAAGAAGGCTCTCTTTCTTGAGCGACATTGGCCAGGTATCTTGATTCCTGACTATGTTCAAGCACTCTTGAGTCTGGGAACATGTGCCTTTTGTTTGTCTTCCTGCCATGATGAGCAACAGGCTAAGCCGGTAAGGTTGGAGTTGGGGTGGACTCTTCGACTTGGGAAAGATAGGATCAAGTGCCTGCCTGTCGGTGAGAACATTCATCATGGAGTTCCATCATTTTGGTTCCAACTCCACCGATCAGTTTTGTTGTTTGTTAAGTTTTGCTAGGGGTCCTCCTTACATAGAGCATAGCTGATGGGAGTGCAGAACAGTATACACAATTACAGATATATAGTAGCCGACATAACATCCTGATCGACATATACTAGTCATGATCTATGTGTTCTTGAAGCTATACTGCAATTGACAAGTAACCAAAACAGACCAGAGATACCTGAATTGAACAATTCTGCATGGGGAAGTTTTACCGGTATGTTATGTTTATGTTCCTTCGGCTGGGGAAGTTTTGGTACTTTAATCATCAGGTTTGTGATCACCAGCATAAATGCTGGAGGCAGAGCCGCATGGGCAGTGCAGAAAAGGGCTCTTGCCAATATCTGTATCCATGACATGAATCCTGATAACATCAAGTGGCGGAAATGGGGGAGGCAGGAGGGCAGCCAGATTAGTAGATTACCCAGAGTCTGTTGATGGGCAATGTAACAATCTGTGATTAATAGGGTGTCATTTCTTGCTTGTGGAAAAGAAGTTTGTAATGGGTTGGTGTGATCAGTTAACATTGTCTTTGAGCAAGGAGTCAAGGATCGTGATCCTTTTACTTACCGAATGCTAATCATGAGCAGTTGGTATGCATCCATTTGTGTTGCCTTTGTTCGTGAGGGTTATGAGCTGTTTGCCCACGCTGGAAACAGAGTTTTATAACATGGTGCCTATCATTCAAGAAGGCTGATTTCATTCTAAGTAGCTATTAAAGATCTTTTCCATCAGCAACGGCGCCCATGGCCTAATGGATAAGGCGTCTGACTTCTAATCAGGCGATTGTGGGTTCGAGTCCCACTGGGCGTGATAATGTAAATTTTTACTCTTTTTTTGTTCTTTTAGTTTTTTGGCCGTCCCCTGGTTGTTTTTCGTCCCTAGTAGCCATGAAAAAGGGGAACAAGGAAAAACGTTCACAAAAGTAGCCTCTAGCTCAACAGACTCGTGTCTTTTGCAAGGTTCTAGGATTCGGTCCCAAATAACCAAAATTTGACAAAATTCACTCATCATATTAATGAGATAAAAACACCTTGTGGCATAAGAAACACGAGGAGGAGGCCATGGTATAGAAAACACGAGGGGCAGTGAAAGTTCGATTCTTGACTCTAGACAATCTAAAAACATAACAAGCGTTCGGGTGAAATTCTTGATTATTTTACCTAAAATTTGATCGTAAGCAATCTCAAACACGCTCTAAAATTATAGATTTTACAGAAAGTATTATCAACATTTATATCTCTAGTTTCTCAAAAAAAATATCTCTACTAGTATGTTTATTATGAAAATGTATTCTACTATTAAATTAAATTAATAATGTAGTACTTATCACGTATTATAAATATTAACATATCTTGTATATACTTTATTATTTTTAACAAAACTTTGACTATAAAAACAATATATAAATAATTAACCGCAGGATAAAATGCAAGCAATTGATTACGACGACGAAAAAAAACACGGTTGCGGGTTGATCGGGTTGGACTCTTGCGGCTCTGAAGTCGGGTTGCACTTCTTTTGTGTTTAGTTTGCGTTAGTCACATGCATGCCGAGCTAGGATTAGCTACGATTGTGATTGTTCAACAATGACAATACAATCACAATCAGGAGAGCGAGATTAGAGCAGGCAAGCAGCTTTACGTGGCCCGCTAACACACGCTATTATTATTTGTCGCCATGCAGATCCACCTTAGCGTATGTGCATTGATCAATAGCTAGCTAGCTTTGACTTTTCTAGACGTACATTGTCACTGTTTCAAGTGTCAAGAGATGGTGAATCGTTTGCTCGTTTATTGTCGTCATCATAATTAATTCCATTCACTTCCACGTCAAGTCTCGGTGTCTATATATACCAGATGTTTGACAAGCGGACACCGGTAACATATGGGCTGTTTGCTCCCCGGACAACGCCTCCCACGCCAGTTGTGGCGTCACCGAAGAAAGGCGAAGAAAATGGCCGCCACAACTATGAAAAAAATTGACATAGCAAACCAAACACCAACCAGCGTGGAACCAAATAACCCTATAATATCCTCCCAAATAAAGCTGCGTGAGTGATCTCTGCTGACCATGCAATGTGCAAGATGAGAACTTATGTACAAAGAAACAGTGACAGCTTAATTAGCCGTAACAATTCATGATCATCATTTGGTTGTGACGTGTCAATACGCTTGGTAAGGATACAAAGAAGTCAGTTGATAGCACTCCCTCCATTCCAAATTATAAGAGGTCTTTTATAGCTTTTGTCATGTACTTGGATATATACTATGTCAATCAAAAAAAAATATACACTACGTCTAAATACACATAGTAAAAGATACAAAAAAGCCAAACATCTTATAATAGAATTTGGAATTGAGGGAGTATCTCTTGATGCTCGAGGCAGGGGCAAAACTAGGATATTTGGTTATTGGTGTTAGTTCTTTAGACGTATATAGTGTTATAATACCAACCTAGAAGAAGAATTTGTTAATCTTAAAGAGGTCTCTAACGGGAGTCTCCATGTTGATCAATAATGAGACACGCTAATTTTTTTTCTAAAACTTCTAAACAAGAAATCAGAAATATTAGCCTTTAATTTGGCAGACTATAATCATCATCGTCAATAATATCCATTGGGTCTATCATGTTTTTGAAAAATTATGCATCTAAGTCATTTGAATTAGCCGTCTCTTCAATTATGAAAGGTAATTTAAAATACCACCTAAGTTGCATGTAAACCACCCACCTTAGCCATTGTGTAAAAGATAATACAAAGTAGCCATCAATTTTTTGAAGTACCCAAACCTGGCATTAAGAAACATAAATAAAGTAATCATTTAATTTGAATCTAAATTACCTAATCTG